ACACAAGCACGCTGTATTTGGGGAATCAAGCGCACACAAGGCGGTGGCTGGACCGTAGTCCTGACAAAATACATACCTGTCTATTATCCAACAGCACGTCTATAGTGGGTCTAGGAGACAGCTGATCGTTGTTGAAGGGGACGGAGTGCACGGTCCTCGTGATCATGGGAGGCGCAAATAGTGGTTTTGTGCACATGGTGTGTGTAGGGAGCTATGGCCTAACCACCGCCTTGTGTGCGCTTGATATCCCAAATGCCACGTGCTTGTGTTTGCCTGTGACCAGCTCCGTTGATGAAACATGGCTCCGCTCCACATACCTCCCGGTCTTATTCCTTCGGGTTTACACTGGATATGGGGTGTGTGGTTGGAGCTGTGGATGGTGCAGCGCAAGCCATCCATGGTCCCTCTGTAGGCGCAGGCGTCATGTGGCTGTCCTATGGAGGTCGCAGTTACAGGCAAATCCGGAACCGCATGCCGCCAACCATGTTAGGCCCGTACGATCACGATCGGCCGCAGGTGGGAGTTGGCCGGTTTGCACCAATTTGACCAGGAGTTTCATGGTTTGAGGCGAACGCTAGCAAACTATTGAGCACCGGAAAATGTGTTTCCACCGTCAGATACAATGGGTAGCGCTCGTGCTCTGCGCTTATAACCTGTAAACGCGTTGTCTCCCATGGCTAGGTCTTAAAGGAAGAGGGCTATCGAGCTCCATCCAATCTCCGAAGAGGATTGGGTTGCGGGGCTGAGTTAATCTGACCCCAACAAATTGACGCATCTGGTATCAGTCACTCTGAAGGTATTTAGAAAGTGCCACCCAGTGTAACTCAATGGGTCACAGATGCACGCAAACCATCGCACCACGTTAGGGTCCAACCACGTTGCGATGGCATACTTACGATAAAATTTTACGTGATTTAGGCATCCATCAAACAAGCATTTTGACTTTGGACGAGCAAGGTGAATGAATAACGGTCAGGTTAAGAAGAGAGGTAAATTTATCATAAAATCATTCGAGATGCATGACTCCAAGTTGCATTTATCTAAGTAGTAGAGCATTCTAGGATTGTTTATACAAGTGGCAAGAGACGCGACCGCATGTACATAGAGAACGTGCAACACGCATTTGGTAACGCTCTCTTCAACCCGTCATTCAAACTAAAGTACTCTGAGCGTTGTGAAATGCTAAAATTGGAGCCACTGTGGCCAAGACGCATGAAGCTAGGCAACACAATTCTACTTGATTTGGCACATAAACTTGTATGTGCACCAAATATTATTATTCATTTCAAACAAGTAGGTAGATCCGCAATTAGGAATACTAATTCCAACAGATACACTGAATTCAGAACTGCGTACCTGTTGAAATAAGTCTGTGGATCGCAACTAGCGTTCAAAATAGTAAGAACAATGTTGAGGTTGGACTGGAACGAAAAAAATATTAGTTGAGGAATGGGCCGAGATATCGGTGTGATTATAAGTCAACGCAAAATGTCTTACGTACAGTGCCTTAAGATAAGCAAACCCACCCGAAGGAAAAGAGAATATGAAAGGTTGACAGAACCACCTTCCCTCTTCTACACCCGACCCCCTTTACCCAATTTACTCGAGGAAGCATAATGGATTTCAAACTGAGACTGACTGACTTATTTTTGTCGCTGATCTGCTTATTCAGCCTACAAACATCTTGAAGAGTGTGAGTTGGAAAGGAAACGTTGAATGATTCTATCCATTGTAATTTAAGTTGTTCGTCGGTTCTTTTTTACACACGGTCACACTTCCCTTGTGATTCTCATGCACACTTGCCAGATGGCAAGGAGAAGCAAACCGACTTTGCTTCCTACCTCTTCATCGCTATGTCCCATAGGCTATTTCCATTTTTCCTCTTACTCGCATACGCCAAGCGTACAAGTAAACTGAAACGCTTGAGCTGGTTGGATAAGGCTAACCACATCCGCCTCATATGCACCCAACCAATCTCCCTTTGTAAATGTCTAGCCCATCAGGCTTAGCTGCTACCTTGGTCTCTTTGCACCCCTTTTTAGAGCATCATTAAGTGTAAGAAAAGTATGTTTAAATTAGATCCCATATACTATACTCTTGAACCTCAGCTTTAATGCCCCTCTTATCACCACATAACTGCGCTTCATCCCTCAACCCGAGGAGACGAAAACTTGGTTCAATTCTTATACAGAGCTCTCTGTCAGGACACCATGGCTTTGATTTGGAGAATCGTCACTGATTCCCAACTATGACTAATAATGTAAACTATCCTGTGGATATCATGTGAGGTAATTGTAAAAAAGTAGTGATGCCGAAAACGGCTAGACACGCGAATCCGAGAATATACATAATTCGTAATAATGTTGTCGCAAAAAGGGGACGTAGTAGAAACGATCACCATACGTCGTTCAACAGGTAGGAGGTGAATCTATCGACAGTACATGGGCACATCGTATTTGTGTTTCTCTACCACAGAACTCCCAGGGATCGCATGCCTACTTCGAGGTCGTCTGCGCCTACATAGACTCGAACCGGAGACCATTGGGTCACGAGGTAAAAGTTTCAACTACGCTGTCACCGATCCACATTAACGTAAGTTTCAGCGGCCCATCAGTATCATATGCCGATGCATCTTTAGCAAGCAACACTGTAAGCAGTGAGACATATTTAGAGATCGGGATGATGCAAAGGCACCCAAATGTATGTGAGCGGGTGGGGTGTGGAGTGCGCATGCCAGGTAGTGGCAAGACGAAGTTACGGCAGAAATAACAGGCAAGCTGAGGCGTGTCACTGAGTGTGCAAACCTACAAATGTCCCGAACAGGACGAGCACGATGTGTGCACACTGCCCGCATATCAAATTCCGAAGCGAACGTGTTCGAACCATGATGGAATACGAAAACATGATTAGGGTAAAAGTAAAGAGAAAACAAGCAACTGCCCATTTCCCCACTCAGATTTTTAATGGGGGAGGGAAAGGGGATCGCCGACACAAGAAATGATACACCTCCGCCACTGAGTTTGGTTTTTAGCCATAACTTCTAAGGTTTCCAACCAGCGGCATTCAGCATCTTTGGGACCCCATCCATGGAGTCAAAAAGAACCAACGCAGGCCAGGTGTTTTGTCAGGTTTTGCATCCAGCTTATCCACGTTGTACGCTGTGCACCATACCACCTCCTCCAGCCCTGTGCAGCGACCGTGAACAAGACACGACGCGGAAGGCGTTGAACTGGCATACGCAGTACGTGTCCAAGCCATCGTAGTTGGAGCAGCGAGACAAGCGCCTCGAGGGAGTGGCTGCCTCCACCCAAGACATGCTGTCTGACTTCAACGTTGGTTACGTAGTGCAGCCCCACACACGGGCGATGGACCGCAGGTAAAGATTACCGAAGACAGACAGTCGGTGCAGGTCATCGGTACGAGCAGGCCAAGTCTCGTAACCGTACGACAGTACAGCGCGGAATGTAGCACTATAAACCCGCTCTTTGATGGAGAGACGAAAGTCATTGCGGCGTCATGAATGCATCAGCCTGGAGAAGGCGAGATGAGCTCTTGAGATGCACACTGAAATCTCGTTTCCAACAGCCCCACCAGCAGTTATGCAGCTTCCCAGGTAGACAAAACGTTGTACGACTTCCAGCTTCTCACCATCAATGGTGAGTGCAAGTATGGGCGACTGCCAGTCTTGAGAAAGCGCTTCGCAGTTGGATGGTGAAAAGTGCATACCATACTTCGACGCCTCAATCGCCCGATGGAATCCAAAAATAAGCATGAAATCGGTCGTCGTAGGGCTGGGTGTTCGAGGCGAGTAACATCGAAAACGCCCCCTAGATCGAACGAAGCTATAGCCATCGAAATGACAGGTTCGGTTATCAGTACATGGTAGTCAAAAATGAGGCGGCATTGTGTTGTTTAGAAACATTGGAGAAAATCAAAAGCCTAAAACGGAATGCTCTCCCAGAATCGGTCGTCTCTGCACCGACACTAACAATATTTAAATGACGGTTGGACGATGCACTCATCCAGTTACACTTTGTTACTTAACACTACGTATTCATCGTACACTTGGAGTTTACCATGGAATTATTTATTGTTAACTGTGGATGCTGTGAATCTAAGAGGATCGCAGGACTGCAACGAAGCAAACGATAAGTTCTTATTTTCATATTTAAAGTATTAACTATTTGAATATCCTTATCATCATTATTGTTATGTTGATATCCCTACCAACTATCCAACGGGACTTGTGAAGCAACGCTTCTTAACCCGTATAAATTCATTGTTCAAGTCAAAAATTCGAACTGGTGCTTCGCTGCCGTACAACCACAGCGGCCAAAGGAAAGAATAATAACAATTGGCAGGAGAGAAGGGGATCTAGTGCTAAACCTAAGTGCTCTAAGCAAATATTCGGCGACAATGCAGCTGCACCTTGTCAAGAACTAACTAGTCACCCACTCAAGGTGCATAGAGCAAATTCTGGACTTTACTTTAACCTACTGGCGCAAACAGCTAGCGCTATCGTGCTGTGACAAGTGGTGCTTGCGAATTCCAGTGCTCTACAAGTAAAGAAGTCAGCAAAAGCTAAGACAAAAATGCCCCACTCGAATTCGACTACCTCTAGCTGAAGTGTTCGGAACAAAGAAGAAATAAGACGGGGTGTAACTGAAATAGCAAACAACACAATAAGCGTCTTTGTCCAAGAGAGGGAAGCAGGAAATCATCAAACCGATCGCGCTGGACTCCAAGTAATAATACGCGACCAAATAGAGACGACTCGGTTGAATGTGAACTACGAAACTATCGGTTTGCATTGAGAACCGGAAAGCGGTTCCATTGATTTGTCGTTGTACAATCTGTAGTGTAGGATAATTTGCCTCGTAGGAGAACGCGACTCACTAATCGACACTGCGAGTGCGCCAACATTTGACCGTTATGCTCACAGGCTGACCTAAGAACAAAAACGCACAGAAAGCAAGTGACGGGTAAATCTTAAGACTTACTTTCAGGTCGTTGAACAAAGAGAACTGCAAGTGTGATGAGCCAGGTACTTGTGCATTCTGAAGGTATTTAAAATGTTTCGATCGGTTTGCCTTGTTTTTCTTCAAAGAAGCGCCTGAGAGACCAGCCGCGAGATCGCACTTGAGCGATGTAAAATAAGGGCCCAAAAGCAGTGAAATGGATGAACACTGATTGTTGTTCAAGCGTTTCGTCTCAGATGAAGACGAGTCGTCGGTGCAGGTTGACTGATTCCCGTCGTTCAATAACGATAGACAAGGCAACAATGGAGTGACTAAATCAGGCAAGTGCGGCATGCCGGTGGACGCCACTGCGACCCGTGTCGACTTGCCCATTTCTCGTGACTGAGTGGAATCAGTTGTATCTTGATCATCGAGAGACTTGCTTTTTATCTGTTCTACAGCATGGTAGGCATGTATAAGAAATTGGGTCAGACGCACGGCATTTATCCGGGGAGCCGACCATTCAGGATCCAAGCACATGGCCCGCAGCCAAGATCTCAGGCTATCGGCGAATTTGTCCTGAGTGGGAAAAATAAGAGAAAGCAAAGGCAACATTGCATCACCATGAAACAAAGTGCGTTCTCGATTGCATGCAGTGAGTAGTAGATGCTTTGGCACAGAATAGAGCAGCCCAGTGGGTAACGAAGACAAAGTAGTAATAATCGCTTTCTGAGCTAGTGACTTGTTTGCGAAACTTGGAAATTCGTTTGCTAGCACAACGAGCAACTCAACCCGAGACAACAGTGCAGTCCAACCTGCTTTGGTGACCATTTGTCTATGGCGACCAGCCGAGAAGATCCCCAACGTTTTCTCCTATGAGTGATGTCCCTATGCATGAAGCTGTCTATGACGATCACTTTATGTCGGTCCATCGAGTGGTCGCCACCTTAGACTGGTTTGACTGTACTTCGAGTTGTTGCAATAAGGGGTTTTTATCGAGAATTCACTGCAACAGACACCAAGTCAGACAGATTATCACGAAAATGAAAAGCACCAAACGGCCGTTTCGTCGTGCGCAGCTGCTGTTAACGGAAGCTGTGACTATTAGTGGCCAGCGATGTCATTTGTAATGTTCATGGTTGTGGGGGATGATCTGCACCATATTGCAGTTGGCTCGCAGGTGATGATTATCCGCCGACGTCCCCTATGACCTAATGTCCACTAACTAGTGTCGCAAGCCGCTAGTGATCATGGAGTTGGATCCTGACGGACCTGGGGGATGCGCACTATCACTGAAGGATCAAAAAAGGCGAAAACACCCGTTTATATTATACGTGAGTAGCCGGATTTTAGTTGTAGTTGGGGCTCGTCTGTAGTGCGCTTTCCTTCCGTCCCCTAATGGGGATCGAACCCATGACCGCTAGAGGCAGATGCCATTTAGCCAGCAGCTTCAGCCACTGAGTCATGGGGGATGTTGGCTGGGCTATATAATTTGCTAGCTAACTAGGATATAGAACGACCTATCTTCCACTGTCACTGACAGTAGCTAGGCTGCGATGTGATGACGTACTCTCTCTAGGTGCTCCAATAGGGCGAAACGCGTCTGGTGCCTTTCTAGACTAGGCCGTGCTATGTAGCTTGTGAACTACTGGGATGAAAGCCTTAAAAGAAAACGCCATTCGCTGTTTTTCTCCGATAGGTGGTAGGATGTCTAACTTGAAAGCTACTGCGGTGAATTCTCAATAAAAAGTAATGTAATGATAGATAATGAGTAGTTCCCGACAACCGAACTGAAATGATCCCGACTGAATACACTCCACTTAACGGAGCCAATTACACAATATTATCGCTTCGTACTAGTGGTGAAAGCTAATAAAGCGCGTACGAACATTGATGGGCTGTTGCGTCAGATGTTAGCAAACAACAATTTAATCGATATCCGTTTAATGGGAAGGCTCAGGTACGATACATGGAATAGCACCGTGGCGCACTACGGGAATCAGATTGGTAGGAACAGGAATTGTGTAGGGATAATATGACTTTTCATGCGTAAGCCAGATCGCGTGTAGTGAGTTGTTCATGCATGTACAGCTGCCGTTTTGGTATCAATCCTAGACGATAAACTGAAACAAAAGCCCACACAGTGTGTTATCTCTGTAGTTTGGACGCAAGTGGTTAGAGAGACGGGCAATCTGTGACAAGTAACGTGTCCGCTACCTTCTTTTTGGCAAAGAACTAGTAAAGCGTTCAGCAACGACATTTCATGTAACAAGCTCGGATGAATGGGCTATGTGTTACATATGTCAACACACCGACTGTCGCGGTATGCGTTGTCTGCGCGACCTGTGTGGGTAGAAAGAGGAGCGGATGCCAGCCGGTGACTCGGTCAAGATTAACGAGGACGTCCATTAAAAGCTAGCCACGGGTGATGTTTCTCGACTACAGGGTTGGGGTCCCATAGACCAGACCATGAACGCGTTCGGCTAGACGACTGCTGATATGGCCAAAAGAGGACTTAAACGGCGATTGTGCCGTAAGATCGTTTTCTTCACTCGTATTTCACCCGCTCCAACTACAATGTCACTCTCGACGTATGAATGAAAAAATAGTGATGTTTGTCTTGTTTTACATTGTTTTTCCAATGGCATGCAATTGATTTGTGTCGCGCCACAATAGCAGGTGACAAATGATGAATGCTGGTGAGAAAGGGATGGACGGAGCGAAGTTACCAACGAAGTTAGTGCTCATTAACCTTATGTGTCTGATGAAGAAAGCAGCATATTGGACTACGCGACTTTCCCAGAAAAAATGAAAGATACCATGGTGAAGACGAGCATGCACGTGGGTAAACAACCAAGTCGAATCAATCATGAGGCACAGCTGCGGTATGCGCCAATGAAACTATCACCGGAAAAGCACACTTCCCAGGCAACAAGAAACTCGGGTCCTCAGGGACGAAGGAATTAAACAGCAATAACGGGTAGATGAAAAATAAGTCAAGTTGTCAGTGTAGGTCAATGAAATAGTTCTTTGTTGTATTCGTTCGCCCCTGGAGTGGCTACACGAACTAATACCTCCTTCTAGCAGTGTCAAACCTTCCCGAACAAGCTGTTTTGGATAATCGACAAGGTGTTAACTAATATCCGATCGGTTAACTAGTTTAGGCTTCGGAGACAGTCTACACGTTCTGGATGACCGTTCTCATCAACCCAAGTGCGGAAAATAATTCAGATCGATAAGAGATGGTGGTGGCATCAGGTTCGTAAGCCCAAAACAAAATCCCGTCCCGTTTAATGGGATGGTGATGTGCCTCAATCTATGAAAGCTAGTCAAACCATACAAAACGCTGAGGATCATGCATTAAAAGATCGACAGAGTCAAGGATTCGGCTCAGACAAATCGCAGTTGTACCGCTGCTTTCCAAAACAAAGTTGAAGTGATGTTGCTGATGTGTTCGATTCCACTGTGTCTGGAGGGGCTGAAAGGCTAGTTAGTTCACAACGGAAATGGAGAGAACACCGAAATGTCCAAAAGTCGTAAACGCAAGCTAATAATAAATGTGTCAGCTGTAGGCCGTAACGGCGCTTCGCTGCCGCGCGATGACCACCAGTCGCGCGCGGGCTGAGTATACCGCGAGGACGCCCACCCTTACGCGGATAAAAACGCGCTAGTTGTGCTGACGGCACAGGTAGTCTCCATGATGGCCGGAAAGAGCAAACCACCAACGTGTGTATGTGTCTCAGTTATTAGTGGAACACTCCAGACTCACCTGATAATGCCAAGCAACTCCTCGATTGTAATGCAAACTTTGTTCCAACACTGCCGATTTGTCTTTTATAGCCAGAGCGTAGGCAGCTATGCAACGGGACATGATTAATTGAGACGCACTCTGGGTGGTCGTCGCTGATGGCTCATCATTTCTGTGCTTGGCTGCTGTGCGTGAGCTCATGGGTGGAGGCGTGACTGGTGCGAAGCTTTCAAAGAACATGGTCAAGAGTGCATTGCCAAGCACAGTCCAAGCGCGCCCGTTGGTTGGCTCATGGCGAACAGCCTCATGAGCCAGTCGCACGGATTCACTCAATGGACTTTCATCGGATTCAACAGACCCGGTTGAATTAGTCTCAGATGCAGGGATCTGCCGCAGTGCCATAGATAATTCACACAAAGCATCCACGTGGTTAGGCTGGGGGAAAAACGAAAGGAAGTGGTGGGACTGTTGATAATAAACACTTTCTGGAGGAAATAAAGTACTGTTAACCATAGTGAAAAAACGTTATGACCAAAAAGTATAAGAATTTTAAGAAAACATCATTCCGAATAATTTATCAATGTGTGAACCAATAGGTCGATTAGAAGGCCCGCAGATACATTGTTTAAATGAGAATAGACGGCAAATTGAGACACATTTTGGAACAATGAACAGAAAACTGAGTCTACTCTCGATTGCTCAGCTGTGACCCCGCCGCATATGTGGCTATAATTCGAGGTACATAATTGACGAAACGTCCGTCGAAGAGGTCGAGATGCGCATTGACAGACAGGGACTAGTAAAGTGAACATTTGAGTAGTAAAGGCGCACGAAACGCCCCGATTCGACCGGAACGTGAAAGTTACGCTTGAAAGTCGTCATCCCATCAAACGTCTGTGGTACGGAGTAATGTGCAGTGTAAATAAGGGTTCTGGTGTATTCCACGAAGCCACGACAATAAGAAGTGATGGAAAAGAAATGATCAAAAATAAAAATTCGATAGATAGATAGATAGATAAGCGGAGGCGGCAAAATCAGAGTGGAGGACCGGCAACTATCAAGACGGGCGATGATGCAAGAACCCCACTGATTAAATGGTCGCATCACGTTCGGTTTTATTATGGCTAACGTTGTTGACGACGTGCACAACTTTGGCTTGGTTTCATTACGTCCTTATGTTAACTACTCGGTGTGAAGTACTAAACAACATTTGCGATCAGTGGGTAACTGAAGAGCATGACCTAACAAGCGTAGCTTGTTCGGATTTAGATGGTCTAATGAGGAATCAGAGGAGCTAATGCTGAATGTACATTACTGACCCTTATGGTTTTGTCAGATATGAGAAATGCTTCGCAGGCGCCAATGGATTGTAACAAGTAATCCCCCAATGTCTCGCTGATGCACAGATAAACCACAACTGCCACATTCCGGCGTGATACACCTCGCTGTCTTTCGAAGATCTGATACACAAGCGCACGATGAAGTTGAAGGACTGAGTGCGTCTTCACTAACCAAAAGTAATGAGAGCGAGCGCCTTCTGGCTCGTGCCGCAACCGTTGAAACCACAGTGGCCAGTGAACAAAATCAATTGTACTGATCCCCAGGCTAAAAATTGGGGGGAGCAACAGCTCCCTCCCCAAAAGAAAACCATGCAGTAAATTGTTCCCGTATTGCGTCCCCAATCTTTAGACGTAAAGCTTGTATCTTGTGGGTACAACTAGCTTTCCATCTGTATCATTCTTTAGCGGATAGTTGCTTTCACTTGCTTGCGAATGGTTAGTCTTAGTAACAAAATGATGCTAGACATGATAACTAGCTCTGCATCACGCCGTTCCGCTCCGCAACACAGTAGTGGTGGAGAAGTTTTTGCAGCAAAACTGCCGAGTTCGACGAACATTCCGAACATCAACTGAACAACCAAGGCTACCAAAATTTTTTGCTATATCGAGGACCCAACAAGTGTAATCAAGCTAGACAAGGGCCGCTGAATCTGTGAACCACGCAAGGAGGGTTGTTCAATGCTGAAACGGATTCTTTCGGGATTGACGATGAGGGTGTTAAATCAGCCGGAAAGAGTTAGGCTAGCAGTGTATCCTAAGCCCAAAAGTAGCGAAACTAGACTGTGGGGTTTTCGAGCCCTAGCCGTGTGTCTTGGACTGCGACAAGCAATTTCAACTGTGATCTCGGTAAACTTTGAAGTAAGCCTCTACCACTTCGGATACGGTCCCAGTAGTACAACTTTTCTCAAGTTGATTAGATGCTTGCATATCTGCCCCCCAACATAGTGGCATCGTATCGGAGATGATAAAAATAGGAACTTAGTGTAGGCCCACGATGATCAAATTCCCAGATAAAGCTGCAACTCTACAAAGGAGAGAATTAAGAGACTGTTGAGCTCGGGAGCGCAATGTACCAAATGAAGACGGTTTTATAATACAATGCGCAGAATGCTCAACAAGCAGTCCAATGGACGACAGGATGGACAGCGTTAGGGCTGGTCTGTGGAAACACAGTATTGTCACGTGCGACAAACGTACCACAAGCTTCAGAGTCTGTCTGAAATGCCGAACAGCCTCATCAGCGTTGCCTTGACGCCAACAGCTTTCACCCAGTTCACACCAGGCATCGGCACATTGAGGGTTAAATTTCAGAGCGCGTGTCAGCCACTGAATTGCTTGAGAAGTCCAACCATTTCCCTTTTCTTCCTCTGCCTCGTCCATGAGATCTTGTGGGAGTGCGTTGAGTGCCTGGAAAGGGATGAGCAATGACAGACGAATTTCAGAATGGCATGCGCTCAGTTAAGTAAGGTAACAAGATTAGACAACATCGACATCAGTGACCAGTTGCGGCGTCAATCATAGTCCGATGAAGGACGCACCGTTCGACACAAATAAGGGCATATGCAAGCCGTGCAATTTCGCAGCAGCATCTAATGGTCAGTTCGCATGTGTTATGACTCATATCGGTAAGACTAGCGTTGACTCATTCACCGTAATTATTAGTGAAGATGGAGGCAGATCGGTCTGTAGATTAGAGGTAACCAGCTTGTCTCGAAAGCTTGAAGTCCGAGTTCGAATCCGCGTACGGGTGGGCATCCATGCGGTATACTCAGCCCGTGTGTGATTGGTGGTGGTCGCACGGCAACGAAGCGTCGTCACGGCGTACAGCTGACACCATTTTAGATGGAGGGACGTCGGCCTATTACCCAATGATACGACGTACAACAGTAATGTGAGATCGGTGCAACAGGATGGAACGGAGAAATGGCCGTTGCTCAGTTGGTGCAGTGATCGTCCAGCCGAACCATTTGGTTGCAAATGTTTCGTCACTAGTCTAACTGATATCATCGGTGCAGAAGAGCTAGAGGTTTGGTAAAATAAGGCAAAGTAATCAGTTTCTACTCCGAAATCGCTAGCTGTAACGCACAGATGATGCCACATCGACCGGTTGCGAAACGTTAGCAACAAAATCGCCCAGCCAAATGACAAGCGCAAAAGCTGAATACCCAACTCGAGAGACCAGTTTAATCTCGACATAGCTGCTGTGTTTAAAAGATATCACAGAAATACTTGTTCTGGGCAGCTGGGACTAAATAAAGAAGAATGTCCACTAATTGGTGTTCGGAGATAGACTATCTGACGCCTTTTCAACCGGACAAAAGTACACTGGTCAGACTAAGTGTACCATGTGGGTACCAACTGTCCAGCGCGGCGCACATAATCTACCAGTGCCTCGTTAGGTTGAGCGAATAACCAGCAGCAACAGTCGGTGATATGGCAAAAATGAATGAAGAAAGCGACTGTTGCGTATTGTATACTATGATAACCGCTTCAGGATCCAGCGCAGCTGCTGTCATTACCCTATTCGACCTGTTGCCGTGGTACTGTGCCCCCACTCGTTGGGTGTTAAAGCTGTATTTGGTGGTCATAACCACACTTTTATTTGTCCCATTCTTCGTTAGATATTTGTTTGCCCAGCCGTGTTATCGGTTTCATATGCTTCCCGGTGGTTAGTATTAGTACCAAAACGATGCCAGACAGGTTAACTAGACTCACCGCTACTGTGTATCCGAATTACAGTCGATTCAGTGAAGTGAATCGGGGGCAAAAGAAACGGATAGCTTATAAGTGGGTTTGCTGCTTACTTCATGTCAACATAAGTCCTCTGCCACTTACGTGATCTACAGAACGTTCTGAGAGTGCTGGCACTTAAGCATCTATTGTAACCGGAGTAATTCCAAGTGAATCCACCAGAATCTACGCCGTTCATTCTCGAGAAACACACGGTAAAGGTAGATCTAATGGTGTTAAACAATGTCATTGATGAAGCATGGACAGGGAGAGTCAAAGGTTAAGAAACACTTGACATTAGGCTGCCAGAAGTCACGAGCACAAGAGGCGCTGCCGAACTTTCTAGCCAAAAAAATTGTGCCTTGGGCACCGCGCGCGCAGGCCGACGAAGAGGATAGCAGTTGAGCAGCTTCAGCAATTTTTCATTTCTAGAACACTTTTCAAGTGGGTCAGGAGTAGGCATCAGTAAACAAGGATAAATTAGGATGTTGCATTTGAGGCGAGACCAGGCGAAGCAAGGACAGCTCCAACGGCCTAGTCCAAAATGAACGCCCAGGGACTACAGACATAGGTCCAATATAGGAAGAGGTGAGAAAGCAGCACGCGGTGAAGAATGGGGAGGAGAGTGTAATACACAATGGCTAGGAAAGTAATGGTGGTAAGATGCATTCGAGCGCACACAAACTATACCGTGATAGGTTAAGACTAATGTACTTCGCTAGTGTCCCCTGTCCAAAGAATCTACCGATTCGCTTAGGCTACTAAACTCTGATAGAACACAGGTATCGCAGCAATTACCAATGGACACTACGTGGAACTAATCTACCATTTCGAGCACATTAGTAGAAAAAATATGAAACGAATGTGTTCCCATGTGCTCACAAATCTTTAAGTTCAACCGCTTGCCACAGTTAACTAATCACACGCCAAGTTCAGAATACGACAAACCACGAAGCGTTAAACGAACAATTGCTTTCGATTAATTCTTCATCAGGCTCCCACAATACTATACTTTAGGGTAAGGCCTGTTACAACCATCAGTATAACAAAGAAACAATTGATCAGAAAATTTAACTTTGATCATGATGGCAGTCATCTGATCACATGACTGAAGTCAGGTGAAGTTGCGGAGTACCATCATTTCCTTTCTGTCTGGTGGTCGGCCTCCGAAGTTGTAATCTATGTATCATCTTCTTCTGTACACACAAGTCCGACTTTGTCAGGCGCACGCATACTCTCTTCGCGGAGGCAAGTAGGCTTGCTCTTACAAGATGGTTACACCTTGTTGGATTTTTGGAGAGATTCTGAAACGATGTTTGTTTGTTTATCTGGCGGCCTGTGCTGATTAGATGGTTAGTAATCGCGCTGTAGTTTGTCCAATTCTCGCGATTGTAGAGCCAGGCTTGGAGATGTTTCTTAGTTATGTTACCTAAATGCCTCGTCCTCCGTCCAATGTATCTGGCCTCGCACGGGCAGGTGAACCGGTAGATTAACATTGATTGGTGATGATCAGGCACTCACTCTTTGAATCTAAACGGGTAGACAAGAAACCATGCAAAATGCAGAAAACTTTACACGAAACAAAGTGTCAAACCAAGTTTCCATCAGTTCCAGAACAATAGGTGCACAATCTTTGCAGTGTTCATTTAGACAGGCTACAGCTGCACGCACTTTCACTTGGTCTAAAATTTAACCATCCGCAAAAGAAATACGATGGTGTTGAAATAGAAACACAGTTTGAACACCTAATCAAGCAGACGAAGGAATTGGTGGCCAACTCTGATATGGAACTTGAACAGTACAAATCAACTTTGGTCAACGTTTCTTTTCAATACCAAAGACAACCGATAGAACGCCACCGACTACTGACAAAAGCACACATTGATGCCGTGAGAGAACTTCAGAAAAACGAGGACCTAATCATAACCAAACCAGACGAAGGATCTGGGACTGTGCTGATGGATCGTGCGATTACATAAAGAAAATGAAAATGATACTCTCGGATACTTCATGTTGCGTGAAATATGAACAACAGAAAGATAAAACAGAATGTGTAGACAATCATTTGGTCAAGTGTTTGAAATCACTAGTGAGCGACGGCGCCATCACCAAACAAACGTACGACCGACTTCGTCCCATAGGCTCCACCACTCCTCGCCTTTATGGCCTCCCAAAAATACATAAACCTGACACACCATTGAGACCCATACTAGATATGAGGAATTCGCCGTATCACAACATTGCGCAATGGCTGACAAAAATGCTGAATACCATCAGGCAAATGATTGCTTCTCTTAGACTGGCAGATACATTTCAGTTCGTCAACGAAATTCGAGATATGAATGTAAAAGAGTATCGGATGTTTTCCTTAGACGTTGCTTCATTGTTTACCAGCGTGCCTCTGATAGAAACAGTGAACTTCCTGTGCTCGTACGTTGACCAGCATAGTATAAACATCGGTATACGAACCAACCAACTGAAACAACTGATACTCAGATGGACGTACAACGTTTAATTTCAATTCGATAGCGAGTTTCATGGACAGGTTGATGGCGTTGCAATATGATCTCTGCTCGGTCCATTGTTAGCGGGTATTTATATGGAATGCTAGAAAGCGGTCCATTAAAACAGGTCATATCGCGTCTGAAATTCTATCGGCGTTATGTGGATGATATGATTTATGAATGATCGGACCACCAAACCCCAGGATATAATCGACTGTTTCAACACTGCGCACCCTAATGCCGCATTTACAGCTGAGGAAGAAAATAACCAAATGAACTATTTGGACGCAAATCTTATCAGAAGAACTGACGGATCAATCCAAATAAAAGTATACAAGAGACCATACTGGACGGGACAATACATGAAGTTCCATAGATTCGCCCCACTCAGTCAAAAAAGAATGCTGGTGCGAACACTAACCGATCGCGCATACAAAATCCGCAACGAAGACACCATAAAAGCCGAACTCGTGCGAATCAAAGAAACGCTTCTCGAAAATAAATATCCAGAGCGAGTTATCGAGACCCATATGAGGCGATGCATACAAAAAATATCAAGACAAACCGTTGAAAAGAAACATCTTTACTTGACTCTTCCATTCAAAGGAAGTAGTGATGCAGAGACATGCACGCGTCGACTACAGCAAAGCTGCAAAGAGACCTTTAATGCGGCTCAGCTGAATGCAGTTTTCACGAGCAGACCTTTACTAGTTCCGAGATTCAAAGACCGAGTGCCTGACCAATCAATGTTAATCTACCGGTTCACCTGCCCGTGCGAGGCCAGATACATTGGACGGAGGACGAGGCATTTAGGTAACATAACTAAGAAACATCTTCAAGCCTGGCTCTACAATCGCGAGAATTGGACAAACTACAGCGCGATTACTAACCATCTAATCAGCACAGGCCGCCAGATAAACAAACAAACATCGTTTCAGAATCTCTCCAAAAATCCAACAAGGTGTAACCATCTTGTAAGAGCAAGCCTACTTGCCTCCGCGAAGAGAGTATGCATGCGCCTGACAAAGCCGGACTTGTGTGTACAGAAGAAGATGATACATAGATTACAACTTCCGTGGCCGACCACCAGACGGAAAGGAAGTGATGGTACTCCGCAACTTCACCTGACTTCAGTCATGTGATCAGATGACTGCCATCATGATCAAAGTTAAATTTTCTGATCAATTGTTTCTTTGTTATACTGATGGTTGTAACAGGCCTTACCCTAAAGTATAGTATTGTGGGAGCCTGATGAAGAATTAATCGAAAGCAATTGTTCGCTCAACGCTTCGTGTTTGTCTGTCTTTCTGAATATGACGTAGCAAGCATTCTGCTTAAGTTGGAAGGGCACTTTACAAAAGCTATGACGGATACAACAGCGCAAACTCGTAATACAGTAGAGGGAGACGCGAGATTATCTAGAGTGGTGATGAGAGATAAAATGAAGAACTGGACACGTGTAGCAAAAAAACGAAAATTAAGGCGGGATTCTGAGAGTGCTCTGAATGTCACCGAGGTTACGGGTCTACTATGATTGTCATGTATATGGAAGGAAGCAAATGTAAAATGTCGAAGTCAGCTGTACGCAGACCAAAGCAGTGGTATTCAGAAACTTGTAAACAGGGAGAAAATAAGTTGAGAATGATAACGGACCCAAAGGTGGTTTACCTTGCCGTATAAGTAACAAAATCGGGACTTCTCGTTAGGAGAAGCATGCGCAAATTCAGCTTCCGCCTCTTTTAAGGTAGTCAGAGTTTGCTTTACTGTCTTCTTAATATCGTCTTTCCAATTAGCAAATAACCGATTAACATTTTCAATCAGTGAAATAATCTTATCCTGGTCACACCAAACAGAATCATAAAGGTCACTGTTCGGAGTGAAAAGGTCGTGGTCGGCGATTTCTTTAATAGATTGGCTGCGGAAATTGGCCAAACTCAGGACTGCTGCGCTGACTGCTGAGAGGACTGCGTTAGTATCCGATACAAAGTCCATGTATTGGTGAAGCAAAGCCTGTTCGTTCGATGGACTGAAAGAATAAGAAGCAGTTCATTAGCGGAAGTTGCCAAAAGGAGGAAAAGGGGATTAAAAATAGGCGTTTATTTTACTGTTTTGCAAGCTGGCCCCAGTTTGCAATATGTTCACTAATTAACACAGACCAACGATTGGTTGTGATGGTTCTTAAACCTTTCAAACGACGGTACTCTGACTCAACTGACTGCAACATCTCGCTTCCTTGACGGGACAGACGTTGGCCAGGAGCATGGGATGGCTCAGTATTCAGGTTTCCGTTTATCAAATCCTCGCACATAAAAGTGGTCTCGACCGATGTGCGTAACAAACTGATGCCAGACTCGATGGCCAATTCAAGTTTGTCCAAACGTTTGAGTGTAAGGATCCAGTCAGATCGGTTCTTTATCATGACTTCGTCTAGTTCAGGATCTGACTCGGGCGTATAACACCTGAGAAATTGAGTTTGTGAGGCAAGGAGTTCCATTAATCTGCACACACTGGCATCGAACTCACGAAGCAATTGATGGACGAGACTGAGATTTGCATCTAACTGCCACTGGACGCAGCGGGAAAAAATATCAGAAGTTGAACTGTTGGACGTAATTGTGAGCAAAGGGGAATTCGGCTCCTTCACCTCAGCCAGTACGAACGGACAAGATGCGACACGTGCAGCGAAAGCTGCGGTCCCTGCAGCAAATGCTGTGGTGCACAAACGGAAAGGGTTATATGTGCCGAAGAGAATCCGAGAGAAGCGAAGCATGAGAAACTATAACAAAGAGAAAACAGAGTAAAACTGTAGACACGTGTAGGAACTCGGTTATTGGCACAAAATACTCAGCAAAGGAAAACGATGTCCTGATGAAATAGCAGTGACTGAAATACAAAGGAAGCAAACGAGCTTTTACGAAACAAAATGGCTAACGGGATGCAGGCAAAACACACATTACGAAAAATGAAAGCTAAATTTGCTCTTCTGTTAAAATAAGCAGACGGTTTGTTAGTTGATAGTAGAAATAAGATAAGCATAGTGGCCACGTTTCTCTTTGAAAAGATGGATGTTACCCGGAAATGGATAAAATTATTTAAAAAAGAGGATGGCCGTATGATGAGCAGCAATAGAACTCCATTCTTCCTCAGCTAATGAGCAATGGTCGGCAGTCAGTTGGAATAGGCGTAAGTAATCGACAAGTCGCAGGTTTGGATCCACGTAGGTGAAGGAAACCTCGCAGTATACTTAGCTTACGCGCGAATCTGGTGATGCCCGAGAAAAGGGTCGACAGGTATTGGCGCACATCTGATGCCATCTACTGAGCAAGAGACTGCCAATGAATTTGCAACTGGTGCTAGCAAGACCTTCCAAAGAAGAGTCTCATTTCACACTGAAGCGTCCAACGTCTGTATTCTAGATCAGGCCGGTTAACAAACAGCACTAGCTCTCGCTCTCCAAGCTGGAGGTCGAGGTCGTGGCTGCATTGACCACATCTTCACCTTGCGTCAGTTGTTGGATCACCGGCACATATATTGGCGGCTCACCGTAGTCGTGTTCCTCGATATCAAAGGTGCATTCGACTCAGTGGATAGACATGCACTTTGGGACTGTCTACTCAGGAAAGGTGTACCTGAGAAATATGTGAATATTATCCGAACATTATATGCGCGTAGCTCGGGCAGAGTGAGGGCTTACGGCAAGTCATCGTCGTTATTTAATATCTCCAGCGGCGTGAGACAAGGATGCCCGCTGTCACCTTTCCTCGTCAACTTCGCTACTGACGAAATCATGGAAATCGCGTTTACAGGACACGACTTTGAAGGTGTGGAGCTATTCCCAGGAGAACGACTTCTTGACTTAGAGTATGCTGATGATATTGCCCTAATCTGTGACAGCTCACAAACGTGCCAAGCGGCACTGGACAAATTAGCAATAGCTGTCCGCCATTTCCGGCTTTGTTTCGCACCCTCGAAGTGCAAAGCGTTCCTCCAAGATTGGCCTGGACCGCCCCCTACGCTGACCCTTGGTGGGGATCAGCTAGAAGTCGTTCAAAATTCAACTACCTGGGAAGTTGTATCAGCGCCCGTGGGATTGAAGATGAGATCACGAATCGTATATCAAAAGCTCGGGGCGCTATTGCTAACCTTCGCCACTTATGGCGCCGGCGCGACATCACTCTCGCCCTGAAGGGTAGAGTGTACAATGCAGCGGTACGTTCGACCCTGCTGTACGGTTGTAAAACCTGGCCGCTTAAAGCAGCGGACCTGAAGAGGCTAGTTACCTTCGACCACCGGTGCCTTCGTAATTTAGCTCACATCTGGTGGGAACACCGCGTGAGCAACGAGCGTGTTCGACGCCCCATTTACGGCACAGGAAAAGGAACTGAACCGCTCGGCACCGTTATTTCACGCATCAGGCTCCGATGGATCGGCCACGTGTTACGCATGCCAGCCCACCGACTCCCGCGACGTGTGTTGTTTGCGCGCCGGGGGTGTGGATGGAAGAAGAGGAGGGGTGGCCAAACGATGACTTGGTCCAGAGGAATGAAGGCCCTCACTTCTGAGCTGGCCTCGGTTGGAACGTCTCCGCTCCCTAATTGGGGTCCGAAAGACGATGAACACATTTGGTTGGACACACATGCTGATTTGGCTAGGAGCCGACCTCAGTGGCGTTCGTGCTGTGAGTTTCTTTGTCCCACTCCATCCCTCTTAGCCTCCCCCTCCAACCACGATCTCATTATTTAACCTTATATAATTTTACATAGTAATTTTTTGGTGCACAGCAGCCGGCTGGTAGCTTACCGGAACGATGCCCATCCGTTACCGGTAGCTCAGCCAGTTTGCAGCAGCTGCATTTTTTTTCTCTCCTTTTTCTAGGTATTGCGGCACAGTAGCTGAGATGTTCCCCACCTCTAGCTAACGTGTATGATGATGAATCTGGAAATTGATGTATGCAGTATGTCCGAGATGTGCACACAAGATAGCAGCGTCATAATGAAACTTCGACTCCCTGATTCCGAATCGGTTGACGACTACACATTCCGAGTTAAAGACACAAAGACACATATGGCATCTATACTACTTCAGCAAAAGCACTGAAGGTGACCTACTCTAATGGATACCAGTAAGTAGCCGCATGCGAACGGTCCGACCTCGAATCTCCAATTGGGTGAATAAGTCCCGGCTGAAGGCAGCGTGTCTTCTCATTGTCTTGATGTATGCTTCGATCTACTGCAGTTCAAGGGTTATCGGATGAATTCAATCGTAAAGGCTCATATCTTATCTGGATGGCAAAGAATACCGATATCGTGTTTGTTTCTGGTGACATGAATGCACGAGTAGATCGCCTATCGGAATCTGAACAACGTTTGCGAGGACGTTGTAGGGTCGATGACCCCGAAGAGATACCGGTGGCCGATTTTCGCAACAACCGGTTCAAAATCTTCATAGTTGCCGCAAGGGTTTTAGAAAACATTTAAATCGTATCATTGTATACAATTTGACTATATTGTCGTCAGCTACGGATAAAGCATCTCGGTTCATGATGGCCAGTCAATTTGAAGTACATGTCTGAATTCTGAACATGATGTAGTGCGCGCATGCATAGCGTTCAACCTTCCAGCTTCAACAATGTGTGCCGTTTTAAAGCTTCTCACTAGCGACCTCAGCATCACCACGAACTAGCCGATAAGCTGCCAATAGCTAATGAGGTTGGTGAGTGGATTGTCAACTGGAAGTGTCACAAATGTTTGAAGCTTTCTGTGTGCCCAATTTTAGAAATTATAACGGCAAATGGATTGCTGGGTATGGATTAGTTTGATCGAAGCAAGTACTCAGTTTCAGCTTCCCATAATGACGAGTGGAGTCTGAATTAACCGGGAATGCGGGTGAGTGGCATGGACTCGTAAGATGGAGAAAGCCATTGCTCATGGAAAAACACGAGTGCGGTTCCGATTCCTTTGGAAAACGAGTCGAAGTAAGCTACATTATTGAATTGAAAGCTGAGAAAGATAATCCATTTCCAGCCAGTTGGACTGGACATTCTGAAAGTAGTTCAGCAGGCCTGCTGTAACACTGTCGATCGCTAAAATCCCTTTAGGCCCAGTGGGATGTTCATGTCACACCGCTGGCATTGAAAGAGACTCGACATTGAACACGCTGTATTGAAACGAAACAAGGCTCCTGGACCCGACGACATCCCTACATTTTCCCTGAAAGAGGAAGGTGAATCTATGTTGACTGGACTTGTCACTCATTTTAAACAATAGTTTCAACACTGAAAATGCACCTCCAGACTATCGTCCCCATCGTTCGAAGCATCAATGGACTTCGTGCGAAAATCGCAGAGGCGTGCCAGCATGTGATGTTGCTTACCCATTTAGAGCGTGCTAGAGTAATCCCTCTCTATTCGGAGATCTCTTTGCAGTGACTCCCGAGACGGGGTAAGGGTTTGTAGGAAGCTATCACCTGAGTTTGCCATAACAATAGGGGTTAGTCAAAGTTGTCCTATGTCTCCACTCTTATCTAAGTTTGTAATCTAGGTGATCATAAATGATTGTGTCCTCTCACAATCTCTGAAATGGAAGTCCTGTCAGGTGACCAACTGGCAAACCTTAAGTATGTAGACGACAGAGCTCTTCTTGGGTCTGACGCAGTGGCTACGTAAGAACTACTGAACAGCCTGAATCATATCACCTCACGTTTCGGTAAATAGTTCGCACCTTCAAAGTACTGTTGCAAGACTAGGCCGAAACGCCACCTGTTCTTGCTACCAACAAACATCCACTGGATGTGGTGGATCGATTCGCTTACCTTGTTAGTTATGTCACTACTAGTGGCCACATTACTGAAGGCGTTACTACGAATATCAGCAAAGCCACAGTGGCTTTTCCTGGGTCCAACCATCTGTAGAGACAACAGGATATCAAACTGTTGGCCCTAGGTAGGGTATATAACACTGTGATAAGGCCGGTGTCACTGTATGGATTAGAGGACTGGCCACTTCACACCGAAGAAATTAACTGACCGTTTTTGTTCACCGCTGCACACACCTGGTGGGAACACTAGGTGAGTAGCGCTAGGGGACAGCAATGGGCCGAAAGGACGGTCTGTTGCTTTTACGGATTGATTTGTAATCCAATTACGGTGAATCAAACAAATCAAGGCTAAGCGACTTGCAAGAAATTCCCTGGTGCTATACCGGAATACCTGTCAAAGCTTAAAAGTGTACACTGGCTAGACATGCAATCCTTATGTCTGTTGACCGTCTTCCTCGGTGTGCATTACATGACGCGGCTGCACCAAGCTGGGCGAAATCACAAAATCATCAACAGCAGTGCATCAGCCATTTGAACTGACGCTGCACTGACACAAAACCACAATGACCTACAAAAAGAAGAGTAAGAGAGAGAAGAAGGATCTGGCGTAAAACCTTAATGGCCTTAGCAACCACTTCATCATCAACAGCAGTACATCAGTCATTTGAACTGATGCTTCGCTGCATTACAACAATGAGGACCTATGAAATAAAGAATAAGAGGGAGAGAAAGGGGACTTACCTGAAAACCTTATTGCCCTAAGCAAACATTCAGGGTCAAGGCGCCTACACTTTGTGTAGACAACATACCGTCACAAACAGCTGGCTATCGTTCAAAGATAAGGCGGCATCGGCGAGACAGCTTCCTTGCGGCTTTCACTGCCACGCGTCATAATCAGCCATTACTCTGCTGATAACTCAGTACCAAACACACTTTAAACAGGCAATCGGATTAGGAGACGG